GAGAACAATTAAACACAAACGCTGGAGTTCTACATTAAACGACGCAGAACATCCGTTGTTCTGCGTCGGGTTTTTTATGGAACATTTTAAGTTAAATACTAATGAAGTAAAGGTTTAGTTAAGCCAAAACATTGACAGGTCTAGTACTTTACAAGCTAACTAGGCTAGCTCTCTGTTTTCCCTATCTGAAGAATTAACTTTAATAAACAGACAATACTGATCGAATTGGCGCCTAATGTAGTCTTCGCCACATAAAGAAGGAGCAAACAAACGTGAATGAGTCTTAATGACAGCAGCAACACTGGTCGATGTCACCTGCTAGCTTTAGCTTTAGCATTTGATGCTGCTACCCAGACACGAGTATGGGGCAATACAGGGCCATATAGTTAAATTTTAATGTCAATATGTGGATTATTACAACGGGGTGCGAAGTGTATTTTAAAAGATGACGCCGGCGATATGTTGTGCTGATGATAAACGGATCCATCTACAAGAGCAGCAGCAATTCTGCGGCCTGTGTTGATGCAGTGTGCCTTCTCCATTTTGAACAATAACCTCACAGCTCCCTCCACTGATAATAAAAGCAACGGAAGAAAACACATGTGTACATCTAAGGTCCAGCACAGCATGTTGAGACGCTGCTGCCACCGCAACCACACTCGTATTTACCCGGAGTGCTGGCGTGTGTGCTCTGGCTCCGAAAGCTACTCTCCGTACAGTAACTGGCATCATCATCCTCCAGCTCCTCCACCTCCTCGTCCAGAACATCATCATCGAGGCAATCGGACTCCTCTTTGAGGGCCTCGTCCTCCTCCGACGGCAGATCCTCTTCAATGTACTCGTCCTCCTCCGACCTTAAACTGACAGCATCGTCCTCCTCGTCGCTTTCGTGGTCATCGTAAACCACAGTTATGGGTGCAGCCGTCCGCCTTCCTCCACGACCCCCTCTGCCTCCTCTACCGCCACCTCTGCCTCGTCCCCTACCCCGCGTAGAAGAGCCAGGTCCCCCTCTCTTCTTCTTGGCCGGCTTAGTGATCTCCCTCGTGGGGCTCTCTTCGTCTCCACTGTCTCGCGGCCGAGGCTTTATGTTCCTCCGGGGTCGCAAGCCCCGGGCCGTAGCAGGAGCAGAAGCAGAAGCAGGGGACGACTCCTCGGTTGGCAGGGGTTTAGGCGGCCTGCCTCTTTTTCCTCGCATGATAAGCTAAACTTGTTATTTTACAAACGCTATTTTTGCGTATATTTTCCTACACTAATATAAACAATAGCAGCAATGCGACAATGCGGGACTGGTGGGGTCTTAGACGGCGTAGGACCCCCGTGGTTACTCCGTCTATCATAAGATGTAAGAGCTCAAAACGTTAGCCCGGCGTCCCGCTTTGGTTCGCTTAGAGCCGCCATCTTTCTTCTCTGCCGCTGTGGCTGAACAAACAGCAGGCCCTCCTCACAGTGGACGAGTCACGTGGTCCCACAGCACTGTAGCAACAATGAGCCCTAACGACTAATTCTAACAAATACATCCATGTTTTCAAGGGAAACATTTTTTAACATTAAAATGTTTCGACCCAGGTATAAATTTACACGGACATATGCATATAATAATAACACAAATTAAATATTGTTGTTATTAACTATTCTTCCTATAATACATTACTTTGTTAATCTAAAACCTGCAACTTCCATTTTGTCTCAGTTCATCGTTGTTTTAGTCCAATGTGGTTGACGCAAAGCGTTGCTATAGAGATTAAAGGAAAAAGTTTACAGCACAAACCACTGTGTTTCTTTTACTACTTATACTGTGAGAAACGAACCAATTCTACACAGACTTGTCCTGGTGTTTGCAACGTTTACCTATGACAACAAACTTGTGGGGAATGGTTAATTGTCTCTTCACATGTCAATGCGTATATAGATATGTATATATGTATGTTTATTCATACAGTGTCTGTTTACAGAAATATATGTGTGTGTGTGTGTGTGTGTGTGTGTGTGTGTGTGTGTCCTAGCAGTCTATTATGCGATGGACTAGAACTCTATCGGGGTCTCCCCGGCGGGTCCCCGCGCATGTTCGAATCCTGCCGTAGTATTATAAGAAACATATTGTCATTATAATTAATGTACACTGTTGAGAATGTTATGAAGACATTTCTCTATAGCCTATATTAAATTGCATCAACGGTGGTTATTATTTCTTGTCGCTGTCACGTCATTTTAATTATCGATAAGGCTAAAATAAAATACCACCTACTTGGATGACGACTCAGTGTTAGGAACTTCACCCATCATTGTGGAGGTTTATTTTCGAATCCTCTACTAAAACAGTCTTATATTAAAAACTTTTATATGAAATTTATAAGCCTTTCATTTTCTTTTCTTTTTTTTTTTTTTTTTTTTTTGCGTGTGTGTAAAATAAATCTCCATTTAATATCGAGTAAAATAGCTTTTGGAAATCAGCCACTAGGTGGAAGCATAACCATAAAATCAAAAACAGGGTGGCTTTAGAACAAGTCTTGCAAGTCCTGCAGATGTTCAGTAATGTGAAGTCGAGGAGTAGAGGTCTTTCCTTTCCACCACCAGCGTCCATCAAAGAGGATCATGATCATCCACCTCCACCACAGCCCCCATCATCCCCTGTTTTGTACAGTTGACCTCTGGTGTCCAGCTGCTTTGACTGCTTCACCTTCGTCAGGTACTTCAGACAGCAGCGTCAAGCCTGATTACTGAACAAAGACCTCTGTTGTGACACCAAGTTGCTACTCTCCACACTTGGAACTCCATCTGCCCACCACAGATGTGTGTTTTTTCAAACCCCAAACAGATTCACTCAACTTATTTGAACCATCTCATATTTGATGTGACTCCACAGGAAAGTGTGTCTGTCTAGACTGCACTGCAAACATAAGAATGCCAGCATGTATAATTAGGATGCTGAGGGACGTGTGCAAACAGGACGATGACTATAATCTTTTCAACTGTCCACCAAAATGTCCTCACAAATCCTCTGATCATCTCCCAATGTCCAAACACTGACAAACAGCTTTGAGGTTTAAATGCAGGAACAACTCTTCTTCCACCACCAGGGCGGCACCATACGGCAAATGCCCTTTCAATCTTAACAAAAGCACTTGAGCAGTTATTATGCTACAGCCTACATCAGGAAGGGTTTTTTATACGCTTTGAGGTTTTTTGTGTGAAAAGTCATAGTTTTCTGCGGGGAAGGTCAAAAATGCACTAAAGACAACAAACATGACAAACGTCAAAGTGTTTGAATACATACAAGACGAATAAGAGGAGATGGGGGGATAAGAGGGGGGATTATAGAGAGGCTGAGAAAAACAGAAAGACAGGGAGAAGATAGAGGAGGTGAAGGAAAAACCACGACTGAACTGCAGCTTCCTCCTCACTGCCTCCAATGATCATGTGACACAGGCACATGACCCACACATGCATAAGTTCACACATACGGACACAGGGATGAGCACTTGCTTCTTAAAGAAATGTGACTGTACACAGTGAGCTGGAGCTGACACCACTTCCTGACTCACCGTCACTTCTCTCTGCTCTTTGTCACATTTCCAGAAAACTCTTTTGACTCAGAAAAAACACGATAAATGAAGTGAAATGATATAATGGGAAATCTGCAGCAGGTTCCAAGTTTAAATGTACAGCATACACAGAGAGCAGAGATTTTTAAAAAGTTCACTTAATTGTAGTAAAAAGTAATTCAAACAAACCAAAAGTGTAGCTCTTTTTGGATGATTTCAATTAAATTAATTTGAAATAACTCAAAAACACAACCATAACCTCAGAGGTGTGGCCCCTCCTCCAATCACCTGAGAAACCTTCCACACTGATATGTCAATGACCGTTTCTCTCTCCTGTGGCGCCATCCTCAGGCAGTTATTAAGTTACCAAATACAATTAAGTTTGTCTTTTAGGCCTTGGATAAAGGTGAATGTAGAATATTCTAGCACCAACCTTTGTTTCTCTTATCAAAGGAAACAGGACAAAGTTCTCCTTTTTTAATAATTGCATTTTATTAATTGGAAAACAAAACAAAAAATAAACAAAAATGCAAATAAAAAAGAGCAAAAAAAAAAAAACCGTATCCGTATTAGGTAAAACAAGGCGAGCAACATTAAATAAGTAGAAGAAGAGTTCCACATGGGGGAGGACGATGAGGCACAGAGGAGGAATGAAAGGGTAAGACAGGTGGGATTTTTTTCACTGCACAGAACTGGAAAACCCCATGAGGGGGGGGGGGGGTGGGGGGGGGGGGGCTCAACGTAGCAGGTGAGAGACACTGAAACACTAGAGAGAAAGGCACTATCCAGAGAGAACCAGAAACAGAACCAAGAACACGGTAGGTACTCACACACACGCGCATGCACGCACACACATACACAGGACCAGAAATAAAATGTTGGACCAAAAAGTGCTGGAGCACACACCACGCTGGACAAGGATCAGGCTGAGAGGAGAAAAAGCCAAGGAGAGAAAAACAGATGTCCATCAGAAAGCACTGTGACATGGTTGAAGCTCTCACACCTCATCATTCTTACACTGTGATTATCCAAAGTCGGCACCCACGCCACCTGCTGGTGTAACGTGGGGAAGAGTGTCTGCATGCATGCATGTAATGACTGTAATGACTGTAATGGCTGTGCTCCACCTGACCACGTGACTCCTTGGTGTAAAAGTCTATGCTCTGGGCTACATCCACAGCCCAAGACACAAGGCCGCAACTCACGTCACCTCATGTTGACTTTTTATATTTCTCTCTGCAGCTTTCATGGCTCCACCTGCTGGTCATCAACAGCTGCACGTCATTCATTTGAACCTTTTCATATGAAACTAATGGATCCTCAGGAGGGACAAACTTGTCAATCTCCAGGTTTCAACAGCCTGTGGAGCTACATGGTCTCATCCAGACAGACACAGACGTAGGAGAGGAAAAACAGACACACACATACAAATATATAATATATATTCTTAAAAATGGATTCTCTCTATAGTTGATTTATTTATACAGCCGTCGGCTGATGTACAACGCTCACGTGCCAATGAGGAGAACAACATGGAAACTTGTGCTGCACTATCAATGGCATCATCTCCATCCTCTGGTCTTTTTTTGCACATTATTTAAAAATCATTCTTTTTTTTTTCTTTTTTTTAACTTATTTTGTCTTTAAAACAGCGTTAAGATTTAATGGGTCGGCATTTCATTTAGGAGATGGAACACCATGCGCCAAAAGGAGAAAACAATCAAAATAAAAAATAGAAAAAAGAAAACGGCAGAATGTTAGGAAGTTTGAGGAGGAGGAGGAGGAGACAGAAGCTGCTGAGAATCTTCATGGTCACTGCGTTACACTTTACTTTCTGATCTCACTCACACACAGTTGAATCCTCAGAGGTGTTCATCACTGGTGGGTGGGTGAGTGTCAGGGGGGAGGAGGGGTGTCACCCACCCAGAACCATCCTGTCTCTTCTCTTTTAGTTTTGCTGCATTCCTCCCATCTGCCCTTATTATCATGGAATGGCCAAGAGGGACGGGGGGGTGGGGGGTCATGGAGGTGGGGGGAGGCTAATGAAGATCGAACGATAATCATGATGGCGATGATGGTAGTGATGGTCGCTGTGTTGTTCTGGTTTCACATGGTTCTGACTGTTTACATGCTCCGATTGACAGGGGTGACGTAGTTGCGGGGGAACATGCCCGTTAGGCCGTGGCAGCCGCCTTTCCACCAGTTGGGGTCAGAGTTGTCAAGGACTTGGATCACGTCACCACGTCGGAAACCCAGCTCTCCTTCCTCCTGTGGGGCGAAGTCGAAGAGCGCCTGCACGTACGTGGGATGCTGTGAGTGTGAGAGGAAGACGACAAACATCAAAGTCTGGTTCAAATGCACCAGGATAGGTCAAAGGTCAATTGGTGTTTCCATCCTCTGGTGTCTGTACCAGGACTGTTGGAGCTAATGTTGATAATTGAGTCACAAAGGGCTCGCAATAAAAATCATTTTTGTGCGTGCATTAGTGTTACGGATGTGCCTGATGAGAATCATAGATTTTTATAACAAGTTAACAAGATTGAAGTGTCAGCTCGGTGTCATGAGTCTGTTTTTTTACCTGGTGGGCCGGGTGGACCTGCTCAATGTCTCGAAGAAAGATCTGCTGATTGCGTGAGACGGAGGTGGTGCGGTGGTATTCCACCAGCTCGTTGAGAGAGTTAAACTTCACCACCCAAAGGAAATACTTTCCAGCCCCATCACGAAGGACTTTGAAGTGCTGGACATCATTTCCAAACCTGGAAAAAGTCATGGTGAGACATTGGTAAGGATTTTATTTACAGAATCATAAAATGTAATTGCAATAAAGGATGGAGAAAAAACAAATTCAAAAACGTTTTCCTTGTCTTAGTGAAGTGACGTAACTCAGAATGAAAAAAAAAAAAAAAAAAAAAAAAGAGGAAATGGAAAAAAAAAAACTGCAAAAAAACAATCCAACAGTTTGAGATCATCATAAAAGACCATACATGGTCAGGAGAGGGCAGCACTGAGACTTCCAAAGAATAAGGAAGTGGTTTTGCTAATTACGCCTCTCTCCAGGTTTGTGGAAACTGGTGGACGTGATCAGTCATAAACAAATGTCCAGTGATGTATCCAGTGTGACATGTGCTGCTCACTTCACAGACAGGGAGAAGTCTCCGGGGGCGCTCTCGCTCTCTCTGATGAGGAAAGCTCCATCATGCCTCTGTTTGTTTAGCATCTCCTCAGCTTTGGCACGAGGAATCTTCCCGAAGAACCACCTGAAGAAAGACAGACAGGAAGTGTGTTTGTCAGAGAGGCACATGTGACAGAAATAAAAAGAGAAACAGGAAACAACTGGAACTATTCAAATACTGGAGCCTCATTTGGGTGTCTCCATGGTCTGTTTATCACTTGATCAGCAACATTTGTTTATAATGAAAATGCTCATTCAAAAGGGAGGAATGAGGAGGAGGGACAAAGGTACAGACAGACAGACGGACAGATAGACAGATGGACGGATGAACAGACGGACAGATAGACAGACAGACAGATGGACGGATGAACAGACGGACACAGAGAGAGAGAGAGAGAGACTGAAACTTGTTTCTTACGAAGTAACAAACTAAATGACACTCATTATATTTTAGTGAAGAAATAATAATGAATGACATCATTACTGGGGATGCACAGAATATTCGGCTACCAAAAATTTCCATCCAAAAATGGCCCAAAAGTGCATTTTCAGTTCTCGGCTGAGAGACTTTTATCACAAATCAACGCGGCCGAAACAGGAAGTTATGATGACACAAGCAAAAACCGTGACGAGCACAGCTCGTCTGAAAGTACCAACATGTCTGTGGACGTCAATATATCTGAGAAAGACCCACAGACAGAGATATGACAAACGTGTAATGATCCTAGTCTGTCAGCACACGTTTGATCTGTTCTGTTTGACTCTGATCTACATCACCACTTTACTTGATCCACGATAGAAACATCATTCCTGGGATGAGGGAATAAAGCAGCACAGACAAGAACTGAACTGCCGCGATGGACGTGGAGAACCTGCTTGGAGACGGAGAAGATCACAGAGCAGCACCCTGATTGTCTGATATGTTCTGTGAGTTCCTCAAACAATAATAATAACAGGTAGACTGTTCTGTTCTGACTTCCTGTCTGACTATCAGCTGATTTGATTTCTCTGCTCGACATTTGACAGTGAATTATTTTGACAATTATTCATTTATTATTCTTTTATTCAATCACAGTGCCTTGATTTTATTGAGGTTCAGTTCACAGTCATCAATGACATCAATGACATCAAAGACATCAATGACATGGTACTAATAATTATAGAATCAGTTCTTTAAACTGATTCAGTTTTCAGCCTTGGTTTCCTTATTTTCGTTTGGGTTTCGGCCAAGAATTCTGTTTCTGATGCATCACTAATCATAAGTCAATGAAAACGTATGATTGGCTTCATCGTCAATCATGTCAGAACCCAAGAGGAACACAGGGAACAACCAGGTAAATATTGGTTTCACATAAACACAGTCAAGACCACAGCACTTACAACGCACGCACACACACACACACACACACACACACACACAGGTGTCAGACTTACGGATGGGCTCTCATCTCAATGTAATTCTTGGGAATGAATCCGTCTTTTCCGTTAAGCTCTGCCTTGTACCAGTTCTGATCACACTCTTCATTTAATACCTGGTGTTGACAAGGGACAGAGAAGAGAACCAGGTGAGAAGAGAACCAGGTGAGAAGAGAACCAGGTGAGTGCTACACACATGTCAGTGACAGTTGCCTAGGTTAAATGGAGGAGGAACTTGGTTTAAAAAAGCTCCTCCTCCTCCTTCTTCTTCTTGATGGAGAGAATACCAGGTGTCTTTGGCCTCACTCTTCTGATCACCCTGCACTACACCAGTGTTCATGTGGGAGGATGGGGGGGGGGGGGGGACACTGGGGGCTCACACACTCCTCGAAG